CAAGATCCCCATACAGGGTAAAATCAGGATATGAACCCAGGTCTGACTCTGCTCTGACATTTATTGTAGACATTTTTGCAGACCTAAAGATTTGAAAGTCTAAACTCCAACCAGGACTGAAAACTTTCAAATTTTCCCAGTATTTTTGAACATGCCAAAAAGTATTTGCAAAAATGTTTCCACTCCCCCCTGCCTCTGTGTTTCTCTCACTCCCCGATCTCCCTACTCCGGGGTGGACAGCGCCCTCATTCGGTGATGTCTTCCGAGCCACACACAGAGCTTGACTTCCGAAGAACTGGCCTTTCCCAGAATGGCAACGCCTCGGCCTACGTGTGAGGCTGTGTGTGAGTGTTTGTGTGTATGTGTGAGTGTGTGTAAGAATCTGTGGTCTATGCGTGTCTTTGTGTACATGTGGGTATGTGTATGTGTCTGTGCTATGTGCACGTGTCTTTGAGTATATGTGAATATGTATGCATGTGTGTGTGTTTTGTGTCTGTGGCTCAGAGTGTATCTTTATTTGGGATTCTATGTGTTTCTCTGTGCACATGCATGTGTCTGTGTTATGTGTACATCTGTGTGTGTATGTGTGTGAACGTGTGTATCTATGTGTGTGTACAGTGAGTGTGTATGTGCGTGTGAGTGAGGGTGCCTGCATGGATAGTGAGGATGTCTGTACAGATACATGCAGATCTCTCCTTGTGGGCTTGGGTCTGTGCATCGAGCCACGTCACTTTGTCACTCTGTAGGACACGGGAGGCTCTGGTGGACAGACCTGCTCATGGGAGGCGGATTGTACCGTGTGGTCCGGCCTCTGCACAGGTTCTTTGGCTGTTCCTGGGGACATTGCTGCCTTTTTGTGCCTGGTTTTACCCTCCACAGGGCCCCAGCAAGAACACCAGCACAGAACACTTACAAGATAAAAACTTTCATTTTAAAAGAAATGATTCCTCTTATTGGGAACTGAATTTATCGATCAAATTTTGTCTTCAGTGACTTCAAGGATCTGCTTCAATTCCAGTATTAAAGTGGAATTTTGAGATACTAAATACAATGTGAGATAAATTGAACTTACCAGGGATCCTGGAAATTTTGGTTACAACTTTATTTGTGGTAGGAAACCTATATAACCCCTGTCCTGTCCTGGCTTTCCAAATTATAAGAAAGGATAATAATAATTTATTGTAGTTTTTTTAAATAAAAAGGCTTATGTTGTTGCTCTTTGAAAAATTTCCAGATAGTTTACATTTCTTCCTAATCTAACTAGTTACATGGGAGCCGTGTAGCCTGGGGTGTGGGGTCGGAGTTCACAGGTCTCCATCCCCTCATGGGTGGGTCTGAACGTGACAGATGCGGTCAACAACCTGGCACCTTGCAGCTAGTTGAGGGGACCCAGGGACCCTTCCTGCTTCCAGCCCTCCCTTGGGCATTAGGTGCCTGTCTCATAAGACACATGCATGCCCTGCTCAGAGGATCTAACTTTGTGCCCCAAACATTTCCATTTTCTCAGTTGTTGGGGAGCTCAAGAGGCCAGTAGTCATCTGCTCTCTCGTCACTGTGTGCAGAGCAGCTTTGAGACTTTCTCTCTATTTCCCCTCTGCAAAATGGCAGAGTCAAGCCAGGTAATGGTTCAGGCCCCGTGGGCTCTTAGGTGGGGTTACTCCATCGTAAGGAAAGCAGCATCTCAGGCTGTTGGTTTACAGCGTGATTTTTCTGGCGGGACCTTGGGCACATTGCTGGACCTCTCCAAGGCTGTTTCCCCATCTATAAAATGGGGCTGATAATACCTTCCTCCCTGCGTGTGGAGTATGGAGGTGGCGATACACATGCAAGCCCTGACGTAGTCCAAAGCAGGTGCGTGATGCCTACTTTCACTATTACTGTTGGCATATTGTGGATCTTTTAAACCATTTCAATTATCTTTGTTTAAAGCTGCCCCACACCTCAAAATCTACAGTGGAATGCAGTAGAAAAGCCTTTTAACTTAAAAGGCACCCACAGCATATCCCTTACATTTTTGCCAAACCCGAGGTCCCCAGTTTGGTCCTCAGGTCTCTCTGTGAGGACCCCTAGTTTGGGCAGCCAGTATGGACCCAGCGGGGACCATCCCCTGCAAGCTAGCAGCCGAAATGGCTTGTCTGCCTGCTTTTAGTGTTGTTCCTTAACGTGATGTTGTCTCTTCTTACAAGCCTCTAAAACTCCCCTGCCCGCCATTGGCTGCATACATTAGCCCTAATGTATTCTCTCTTGAATACTCATCATATTAAGGCTCCCGGTAGATACCTTGCTCGAAATAAATTTTATGGGCATACATCCTCGCCCTCATCCTGTGCATTTGTGGCTGGGAGGAGAAATACAGCTGCATCTTTCCTCGGAGGGCAGGCCGAACAGCGGTTAGGTCGGGGTCGGTGCCCCTGTTGCCGGGGAGCCGAGGGAGGTGCAGGGAGCAGGATAGCCCGGGGACAGCCCGGGACAGCAGCAACCTTCTCCATCCAGGTTACCAAGGGGCTAATCAGCCTCCCCTGTGGCCGAGGTCTGGCTCCTGGAAATCCAGCCCTTTACTCGCACAAAGAAGCCCCTGCCTGGATGCTGGAGCTGCGGCTGTCACCCGGAACAGAGTCCTGAATGGCTGTGTCCAGCAGAAGCCAGCGGTGGCCGTGCCCAGCAGCCATCGGGGCTCAGCGGGCACCCTGCACCGCACACATGGGACACAGTCACATGTTCCTACTGGCTCTGCACCCTCTTTATCCCTAAACCACCTTCCTGAGCTGGGAGGCCTTCCCGGTCAGGTCTTCCTTCCTGTCCCTGCAAGATGGTGCCCGAGCAATCTTCCTCTTTCTGCTGCTTAGCACCCTACAGTGGCTCTAAATGCAGCGCATGCAGAGAAATCTGCACCCCCTCTCCTTTATGACCCTCTTGGCCTGAGTTGTCCCCCATTGCCCCTTCTTTGAGGCCGGGCATGTCACCACGGGAGCTCCTGGCTGTCTACCCCTCACAGACTGGCCAGCTCACTTGTCACCTCTCCACCAAAACCTTCTCCAGGGATGCCAGCCCGTCCCTGAGGGCCCCTGGACGGGGGCCAGGGGTGGCTGAATGTGCACCTGCATGAGGTGGGCCGTCCCTGAGCCTCAGCGGGAGAGCCAGGCCATCTACACAGGGACTCTTGTGACAGATATGTTAGATAAAGACAATGAACATGGCGCCTAATTTTACTCTCCATGGTTACTACAGTTATCTTATCTCCTAATGATAGTGAGTCCTTCCTGATTACCTGCTGTATACTAGGCCTGGTTCTCAGAATTTTACGTGTATTGATTCATTTGCTCTTCACGACAATCCTACCAGGCACTACTGTCATCATTACCCCACTTTTACAGGTGAGGAAACTGAGGCAGAGAGCCGCGAAGTGACTGTGTAAAAAGCAGAGCCAGGACAGACTCGTGCAGTCTGGCCCCAGAATCCACACTGTCCCTGTGTCTCACCTAACCCGCCTGTGAGTTGGCAAGTCCTGTAGCTGTCGTGTGCTCAGTGCTTGCTGGCATATTGGAAGTCCTGGGGAAGTACTTAATGGGTGAACAATTTATTTCTCAAGGAGGAACACTTTTGAGGTAGAAAAAAAGAATCACATATGTACTGAGACAATTAGCGAGTGTCTGGGCCTATGTGTGTCTACCTAGGTGTGATCCCGGTAGTTTTCATTGTGTATTTTGGTCTGAGAAAGGGGTCAAAAGGCAGGACATCCAGCAGGAGTGACTTTCCTGCAGATGCTGGCACTGGAGCCAGGAAGGCAACAGGCTGAGGTCGGGGTTGGCGCATATGTGTACAGGGCTGGTGACGGCATTTCACGAATGTCCCCATAGCCTAGCTCTAAGTTTTAAGTGCAAATGTCTTAATACTTGAGGAATATTTCTCTTAAGTATTTACAGTTTTTTAGTGCTTTAGATGTGTTTAAAATTTTTCTTTGTGTTTTGAGGGTAATTCTCTTAAGTTAACATTTTTTTTTTTTTAAAGATATGGGGTCTCACTCTGTCACCCAGGCTGGAGTGCATGGGCACAATCATAGCTCACTGCAGCCTCGAAGGCCAGAGCTCAGGCAATCCTTCTCCAGCTAATTTTTTAAAAAATTTTTTTTTGTAGAAATGGGGTCTTACTTTGTTGTCTAGGCAGGTGTCAATCTCCAAACAATCCTCCTGGCCTCAAACAATCCTCTTGCCTCAACCTCCCAAAGTGCTAGGATTAAAGGCGTGAGCCACCTCGCCTAGCTGATTTGATCAATCATTATTCAGTGGTAAGCATCTGTGCAATTACCCTTGCGTGGCAGGTGTCGGGCTAGGCGTGCAAAGCCAAGAAAGAAACACGGTTCCTGCCTCTTGAGGATCCCACCTTCTAAGGGGAAAGACGATGTGTAGACAAACAAGAAGCAAAAGTGCTATTCCTAATAGAGGCGAGAAGCCCTGGGGTTGCCAGTCTCATGCATGCTATATCGGGAAGATACTACAGGAGGCCAAATGCTTGCACTTGTATATTTTTGTTCTTACTATTTGTTACCTTCCTTTATTTTTATTTTATTATTTTATTTTAGTTTAGTTTAGTTTTTGGAAAAGTGCAGGGAAAAATGGCTAGAGATGGATGCTAGCACTATTTGTTCATCTGACCATGGAAGACTGATCATTTTGTTTTGTAGATTTTTGAAACATTCAGTGACACAAAATACTATCCAATGCCCAAGCAATCCTCCAGTAAAAATGAGATGGCAGCGAAACAGACCTTGGATAGGAAATTACTCAGGACAGGAACAGGATGAGGCAGTGGTTAGTGTTCAGTTGCAGACAACAAAATCCACTTTCACTATTTAAGTGAAAAGTGATTAATCGCCAGGTATTAAGTGGCTTTCAGCTCAGCTGGGTGGAGCTTCCAGAAATAACTCTCAGCCCCCAAATGTTCATTGCCTCTGCTGTGGTTGATCAGGACATTATAAACACAGCACCCCAAGTAGCTCCCCCATGATCCACGCCAGCACAGTGGGAGCCTGCCCCCCCCCCCCCCCCCCCCCCCCCCCCCCCCCCCCCGTCCCTACACTGAACTCAGTTCTGAATTCAGGTCTCTCCTAAGCACACCTGAGTGGCAGACTCTAAATCATATTCGGAGCCTGAGCTACAGGGAGTCCGAAAAGCAGTTTCTAGCTTTCCTGTCTGCAGTATGGGCAAGCACATCAGGACTGGGTATTGATCAAACCAATCCATGGTATCTGTTGCAGTTCATTAAAATATTGAAATTTTCTCTCCAAGAGCACCCTCAGGCCTGGACCTCCGTCACTGCCCAGCCCCCCCCCTCGTGCATATCATTTGCTTTTCAGGCCAGATGCCGAGGCAGGGCTCACTTTGGAGGCTGCTGTTTTTAGCACAGCTTCTAATCATTAGTGAACCTATCATGGTTCACTAGTGAATGTTGTTGGGCTTTCCTGGCTTCTTGGCTGTGCAATTGTAGTTGGCATAACTGGGGTTAGCTGATGCTAAAAGCATAGGGTGCTGTTAGTAACAGGTGACCCCTCTGGGCCAAAGTCACCTCAAGCCAGAACACACAGCCTGGCCATCAGGGCAAAGGTTGACTTTCAGTCCCTCCCTGCCCCCTTGACCAGGCATGTCTGTGCAGTGTACAACTGCACAACTGTATGCGGCAGCCCTGGGGATTTGGATCACGTTTGTTCCCACCTCGGCAGAAAGGGAAGGCATCCAGGTAGGGCTCGCCGGGCTGCAAGGAAGGCTCACGAACTGGCTCTCTCTCCTCTGCCTGCAGAGATCCCCCAGTGTGCTGGCTGCAACCAGCATATCCTGGACAAGTTCATCCTGAAGGTCCTGGACAGACACTGGCACAGCTCCTGCCTCAAGTGTGCAGACTGCCAGATGCAGCTGGCCGACAGGTGCTTCTCCAGGGCCGGGAGCGTCTACTGCAAGGAGGACTTCTTCAAGTAAGTCAGAGCCGCGGCCACGGCTCCCCTCTCCTTCCCTGGCCCGTCCCTGCCTCTCCCCGTGCAGTGACGCGATCTCCTCGGTGAGGCGGGTGGGGAGACGGAGGGTCCACCCTGGGTGGAGCAGGCGAATCCTGGTGATGAGAGGATGCCCCTCATTGAGGTCCCCTTCTGGTCACTGGCTCCATCGCTGCCTGAGGCCCACGCCTCGGCCTCCCTTGAGCTCTGCAAGGGGGCAAGGGTGAGGAGTGGGGGAAGGGCTTGGGCCAGATCTCTCCCGGGTGGCTGACAAAGGATCTCCCGAGTCCTACAAGGAGTTGCTCTTGCTGGCCGGATGCACTGGGGCCTCAGGGCACTTGGCTGTCACGTCCCCACGGCTGTCAGAGCAGGTGCATTTAGGTTCTTGCCCCGAATCTGAGTCCTCGTGGCTGTGTTTGCCCGACCTGCTCCAAGGGCCTCAGAGGCTTGGCAGAGTCGTTCCTGGGTGGAGTCACGCCAGGCCTGGTCAGTGTGGTCACTCTAACTGGAAACATGACGAAACGCAGTTTCTTGTGAGTGTTAAGAGTCCAGCCCCTGCCTGGGTTTGAGCCCACCCATGGGCTGTTTGCTCTTGGGCAAGTTACTTAACATCTCTGGGCCTCAGTTTTATCTGTAAAATGGGCTGATAATGATAATCCCTACCTCAAGGGATTGTTGTCAGCTTCAAACAAGTCAGTTCCTAGGACAGTGCCTGATGCCTGGGTGTTATAGCTCTAAGACTGTCCTGGATGGTTCATTCCGGGGTTGGATCCATCAGAAAAATCCTGTTGGGGCTTTGGCTCAGGGGGAGGGAACCCCCTGGACTTTATTTTCTGTGGCGTTTAGTCTGGGACTTCTCTCCCAGGATCTGTTGGCCGAGGCCCGCGGGCTGGTGCCTCAGCTGCGGAGCCCGGAACAGGAGGTGGATCAGCGGCCGTGACCGCGAGGGGTGCTCGGGCACGCCAGCCTGGGTGGCGGGTGCTGGGAGGGCCCGGGCCTGCGGACATTCGGCGGGAATAAGCAGCCCTGCGGGCCCGCACAGCCTCCCGCAGGCGCATATTCTGGAGACAAAAGAAGTGGGGACCGTGCGTCCTGGACACGGAACACGATTTCTCCCGAATCCCCCGCAGGTTTAGCCGTGGGGAATGAGTGACCTGAGTTTCAGAGCACTCTCAGGTGGCTTTGGTGCAATACGAGTCGAAGAGCACGTCGAAGAAGATCTTGGTAACTGCTGGGGCTGCCTCCGCGCTGCGCTCAGAGGCCACGCGTTGTCACCATCACAGTTCAGTCAATTACGAGCCGCTGCCTACTGCGCATGCGTGGTGCGTGCGTGAGCGCGGGCGTGTCTGCGTGCGCTGCGGGAGGGCGGGCAGCAGCCAGCACGCGCACACCCCGCAAGTTCAGATGCAGGGACGGGGCTTCGGTTCCTGCTCTAAGCGCTGTGTCCTGCTCCCCTGTCTTCAATCTTCTTTTCGCTCTCTCCGCCTCTGACCCTCATCTAGTTGCCCTTCTCCTGGCACGTGCGCAGTCCCCGTTCCTCCACCACATCCTCTCGCAGTGGGCGACGAGAGTCTGCCGCCACCTTCCTCCCTCAGTGACGCCCTGGCCAGGCACCACGGCGGCTCTCACGGGCCCTGGATGGGGTGAATTGCACGGTTTGCGTGTGCACGTGCATGTGTGCACTGTGACTGTGCACGTGTGCACACAGACGTGTGCGTAAGGAGGGAGGAGGGAGCAGGCGGGAGGGCCCGGCCTTGGGGGCTGGGTGAGCCGCCCAGCTTCTGTGATCAGGGCGCCATCCTCCGGTTTGTCCCTGCCCTGTCTGATTTGTGGGCCCTGCCCGGCTGGCTCTGGGTTTGGAAAAGGGAGGCGTGGAGAGGGAGGTGGCAGCAGTGCTGGCGCACGGGTGACCTCGGGAGAGCAATGGTAAGGAAAGAGCGCCTCCCTAGACCCAGGAGGGGCCCAGAGCACAGGCTGAGGGGGGATCACCACAGGCCCAGGAGCCATGAGCCCAAGACCAGAAATGACAGTAACAGCTGCTCGCCCAGGCTCGGGTCCCTGAGCCTTGCCTCCGTGGCCTCCCCATGCCACCCTGCCCACATCGTGGCCCTTGTTTGGATCCTTTCAGAGCCTTGCTCTGCAGAAACCTGTCTGTCTCCCCACTCACCTTCCTGTCACCTGCACGCCTCCTGCCAACGAGCCAGCCTGCCCACAGGCCTGGCGATGCCCACCCCGGCTCATGTTCTGTGGCTGCCCACCCCTGCACCCACAGAACATGCCAGATGCATCGGCACCATCCGAGCCTCCTGCCCGGGCTTCCTCCCGGCGCCCACCAACGAGGGCGCTTCCCCCAGGCCTGCCTTGCATCTTCCTGCCTCCACGCCCTGGCCCTACCTCTCCATCCTGCAGGAGGAGGCCACCCTGCCAGGGCCACCCGTCCTCCATGGCCACCCAAAGTCCTGCTCCTCACGGGTGGGAGCCCTCGCTGCGGCCTCCTGCCTCTGCCTCTCTCTCCCAGCGACAGCACGAGCTGCTGTTTGTTCTGCTCATTTCTCGCGCACCTGTTTCATCTTCCTTATGGGCCTGAGGAACAGTGAATTTATGAGAGCTTTGGTGAGTTTCTCCTGTACCTTGCATGGCGTCTTGCGAGCCGGGGAGCCCAGGCTGCCTGGGAAATGCACAGGTCGTTGTTTAGCCACAGCTGTTCCCCTTGCTCCTCGGTGCTGCTCTGCTTCCTAATGCTGGGATGGTCCTTTTGTGCAGCAGGGCGCTGGCCACAGAGCCGGTGCTGAATCAGGCGGTTAATCACGCTGTGATGGGACGCTGCGGGGAGAGGCGTCTAAAGCTGGGGTGATTCTGCCCCCGCAATGGAGGCCCGACCAGAGATGAAGACAGGGCGGTTCCGAAGTCCCCAGTGAGCACACTTGGCTGCACAGGCCCCAGCCAGCTCTTCGGGACTGTGGCTGTTTGGTGGAGGAAGGCACAGTTGCCAGCTGGCCGTAGGAGATGGGGACTGGGAGGGAGTGAGCTGTTCAGGTTCAGGGTCACCACCCATCGCCAGGGGCTTAGCCCTGCTTGGGGCTCAGAGGCGGCCTGCTGCTCATTCCAGTTTACTAAATACCACCGGGCACCTGCTCTCAGCTGGCACATCGGGGCACGCACTGCCCCGCAGCCAGCCCTGCAACCCAGTCCCTCTGTGCCCTCCCACGTGCTGCAGAGCTCACATCTCTGCAACCCTGCGAGGGGGATGGCAGGCACCATGTACTTGAATCTGCCTGTGAGACTCCCGGTGCCCTAGCTGTGGGGTTTGGGAGATGGCTGGCCAGAGTCAGGCAGAGTCCCTCCTCCGTGCTCGTGCTCATTGAAGGAAAATAAAAAAGAGAAAGCACTGTCCTTTTGTGGTCCCCAGCCCAGCCCTGTTCAGAGCCAGAGGGCAGGACTCACTGGCTTCACTGATCAGCACTGTGGGTCTAAGTTCCTGGAGCAATGTTTTAATCTCTGGGCATAACAAGGGGCAGGGCCACTGCTTGGCGCAGCTCCGGGGGCATCCTCCAAGCTTTGTTCTGAGTTTTGCAAATCAAGATGTTGATGTGGAGAGCGCCCCCTGGAGGCGGCAGGCGGCCTGGGAGAGCCAGAGGTCTGGACCTCCCCCAGCCTTTAGCCGAGATGCAGTGATGCTGGTGATGGACAGCAGGGGGCGATGTTGGTGTGTAATATGGATGAAGAAAGCAGTATTTTGGGGAGGTTGTACTCTGTGGTTGTTACATTTTTCTTCTGGGGTTGTTGAACTCTGTCTTGCTCAGTAACATTCACTGATTTTTGCTATTGTTTATTTTGCTTCTTGGGTCCTGGACTCTCCTTTCTCCAAAGGAAATAAATCTCAGGGGCCCAAGAGGAGAGGCACTGTATTGACCAATGCCGTGTAGTAGGGCTGTCGTTTGTTCTGGTCCCGTGGGGGCTTGAAGCATCAGGAGAGCCTACCCGTCCTGCAGAGGATGTTCCAGGGCCTCTTATGATTGGAATTGCACACTGAGGGGCCGATAGCTCCTTGTGTCACATTTACGAAGCAGGTCCTTTAAAAGCCATGTGTCCAGCTTGTCACGGTCCCGCATCTCCTCAAAAAGGGACCAGGGCCTGGGGGGAGTAGGGGTCTGGGAGCAGGGATCTGGGTCCCCTTGTCGTCACCAGCTGGGTCCTGGGAGGAACCAGGTAGCTCCCTTCCTCTGAACCACAGTGCAGATGGGGCAGGTTGTCTGCCCTCAGGGCTGGTTGCAAGCTGGGTGTCCTTGGGCAGGTTCCTTAACATCTCTGAGCCTCACTGTCCTCTTCGGGAAAAATGGGAATTCTAATAGTGCCTGCCTGAAAGACCTGGCACAGAGGAGCATCTTTCAGAAGGGGGTTATTTTGTGAGTGGAGTGGTTGGGTGAGCCCAACGGGAGCTCAGTTGAATTCCTGTCCTATTTATTAGCGGTTTGTCCACAAACAACCAACTGGATCTTTTTGAACCCCATCCCTTGCCTGTTAGGAGGAGCTCAGGCTCGCTCCCAGAGCCGGGAGGAAGGTGGTGGTGTGTAGACCGTGTCCAGCATGGTGCTAAATGCTTTCTAAATAGCTCCGAGCTTCTGGCCCTGGTGCGTGGCTACTTGACCGGACGCCCTGGAGGGCCAGGCTGTCAGAGTTCCCCCTCAGGCATGCTCCTGAGCTGGCCTCTCCTGGTGTCCTCCCCCATCCCCCCGCCCCCCCCGCCCGTTCCCCCTCAGGCATGCTCCTGAGCTGGCCTCTCCTGGTGTCCTCCCCCATCCCCCCGCCACCGGCCCCCTGGCCCAGCTTTGGGGCTTCCCATGGAGATGACTTTTTTTTTTAGACAGAGTCTCACTCTGTTGCCCGGGCTAGAGTGCTGTGGCATCAACCCAGCTCACAGGAACCTTAAACTCCTGGGCTCCGAGTGAGTCTCTGCCGTCCCCAGCCTCCCAGCGTAGCTG